AAAACTTCGTCATCGACTTTGGAAAGATCGTGATATTAGGCTTGGAACCAAAATACAGGTGTACACGGCTGTAGTTCTCACAATTTTTTGTATGGCTCAGAATCCTGGACACTATACAGAAAACAAATTCAGCAAATAGGTATTTTTCACAAGGGCTGTCTTCGGGAAATCTGTGGGGGAAACCTAAGCGACAGAATGGAAAATGCAGACCTTTTCCCCATGTGTGATATTGATGGTATTGAGTCCTTTCTCATGAAATCACAATTACACTGGACAGGTCATGTATTACGTATGCAAGACAAAAGAATTCCAAAAATGCTCATGTATGGTCAACTTGACAATGGTCTTTGAAACGTGGGTCGGCCTTTGCTTAAGTACAGGGACAAGCTGAAGAGTAACCTCTGAGCTGCGAATATAAATCACACTACCTTTGAGAACATCGTAATTGATCGTAATGAGTGGAAGATTACATGCTACAATGGCATCAAGAACAAGGCAGCATCCAACATTGTCAAGCTTCGTCAAACTAGGGAAAGGAATAAAATATCTGCTGCTATTCCAGCCATATACTCCAAGAATCCACACTCTTGCACAATCTGTGGAATTCTTTGCAAATCACTGGCGGGACTGAAGTGTCACTTTCGACTCACGCACAAGGTTAAATAAACAAAGTTGTTGGAACCTCATACGTTGAAACCGACGGAGAGTCCATTATATATATATATATATATATATATATATATATATATATATATATATATATCGCTTTGTTCCTTTCTGTTTTGTTTTTGTCTACTTTCTATTTTACTCGGTTCAAATCTATTTATCCTGAATTTATTCATTTCTATTTGTATATCTTTTGTCTGGTTAAATTTAGCAATCTTCTTTTTATTTTTACTGAAACATAATTTAATGTCTATTAAATTCATCATTTTTTCAGTTTTCAAGTGATAGAATATTTTTCATCTTTTTTATATATCTATCTGTCAGTTAGTTTATATCTATTTAGCTACCTATCCATCTGTCAGTTAGTTCATATCTATCTATCTATCTATCTATCTATCTATCTACCTATCTATCTATCTGTCATTTCATATCTATCTATCTAAATTTCTTATCTTGTTGAATATATCCATGTAGCTTTCATTGAAATTGCAACATAACTTTGAGGGCATAGATTAAACATTTCCATTTTTTCAATTATCTATCTATCTATCTATCTATCTATCTATCTATCTGTCAGTTCTTATCTATCTATCTAAATTTCTTGTCTTGTTGAATATATCCATGTAGCTTTCATTGAAATTGCAACATAATTTCGAGTGCATAAATTAAACGTTTCCATTTTTTCAATTATCTATCTATCTCTCTCTCTATCTATCTATCTATCTATCTATCTATCTATCTATCTATCTATCTATCTGTCTGTCAGTTCATATCTATCTATCTATCTATCTATCTATCTATCTATCTATCTATCTATCTATCTAAATTTCTTGTCTTGTTGAATATATCCATGTAGCTTTCATTGAAATTGCAACATAACTTCGAGTGCATAGATTAAACATTTCCATTTTTCAATTATCAAGTCAAAAAATGTTCTCCATCTGTCGCTCTCTCACACTCACTCCCTCTGTCTCTATCTCTCTTTCTAACTTTCTCTCTCTCTCTCTCTCTCTCTCTATATATATATATATATATATATATATATATATATATATATATATATATGTCCATATAACATTGATTCCATAAAGATTCCAATAAACCTCGCTGTTAAAATGGGAAGAGAAAAATTACATATCCAAATCTGATCATTTAAAAATAAACGATAAATAAATATGTGCGAGTTTTCATTAAATTCAAACGATCATAACTTGATAAATATTTGGCTTTAGGGCAAAGTTAAACCAGTTTCATAATTCTGGCACCGTCGAAATGAAGGACGAGATATAGAAAGTATCACTTGGGAATTTTTTTTTCCATATTGCCAAAATGACCGCTTGAGAACACACTGTGAATTATTGCTATGTGTAATCTTAAAATATAGACATGAAGCCGAATTTTAGTTAATTATCTCTATCTATAAAAGGCTGGCTGTATGTGTGTGTGTAACGAATGGACGGCCGCAATTTTCGACGGATTTGCACCAAAATTGACATGCACATGCTCCATGTTAGCGGGAAGGCCAAGACCATCGATAGTGGAAATAATCGATTTTTTCATGCTTTTACGGAAGTTTCCATGTAGTTTGCGGCCATTTTCTACTGGCCAGAGTGAGAGCCTATAGCTGTCTGCCACGAATAGGCAGAAAGATTCGATGGGCCAGCGTGAGAGCCAACAGCTGACTGACACGAATGTAAACTAGCATACTAACATGCAAAAAAAATCCATGGCTGCATTCGTCACAAGTGGGAAAAATTTAAATCTGCATGGCACTTTACTCCAGTTTGCTCATTCGCTTGCTTAAACTCAACGTTGATTCTGATTCCGCAGAACTGGGTTGGATGTGAAAAAGTATTTGTTGTTAATATTCTTTTTTCATTCGGTTTTTCCAGTTACGAGTTCTTTTTTAAAGCTGATCGTTTCGTGTTTATTTTGTTTAGTTTTTTTTTTCGTAACAGATTTAATGTTTAATATAGAGCTTAGAAAAAATGCGCAGCGTTAGATAGGCAAGAAGTAAAGCATGTAGCAACATCAGCACTGCAAATGGCACTCCATTAAAGGGAAGCAATGACAAAAATATTTTAAGTCAAGTGATAGCGATTGCTGTATGTGTCGTACGATTTTTGAATCAAGCACGGGCAACGCCGGGTCATGCTGCTAGTTAGAATATAATAATATGTTATGTATCCGTGTTCTTTTTTGGTCAAAACACCTGTATGCATAGATCGATCCTGGAATATCATTATCATTCTATATGTAGTCGTATATTCTTCATCTTTTCGATTTCTTTTTCTTACGAACAGGTACAGCATGTTCGAAATCCTCTTTAATCCAGGTTACTTAGTTGTTTAATCCAGCACTGTGCATTAATCTAGTAAAATAGTAGGTCATACTGTCTGTATCACGATAAGCAAGGCATTTTTTCATGTCAGATATTCCTAATTATTTTCCATATTTTTTTTTCTTTTCATCTGTCATATATGTTTATGTTTTCGTTTTCAATTTTTTGTCGATATTATAGCTACAATTACGTTTCGCATCAATCTGTGTCCACTAATTTCCTTGACCTTCCCATGTCTGTCTCAGTATGCTTATACCCATTTTATATTAACACCTCTCTCATTAACGCTCTCTCTCACTCTCTTCCCATCTATCTATCTATCTATCTATCTATCTATCTATCTATCTAAATATATAGCTTTTCTATAGCTTTTCTAGAAAGACTGGTCTAAGAAAAATTTAAAGACTGAATTCACAAACTCTGCCAACCCGTTATAGGTCAGAGTGGCAGACCAGTCTAACTTCGAAAGTTTTGGCTCGCCAGAAGTCAAGGAGAAGTATATCCCTGTGTACAAATCTGTGTGAACGCAAAGAGAAACCACTCCGTTACCTTTTCAAAATACAACCTGGCAACGTACAGCTTAGATAAAAATCTGGTCAAAAAGTATCGAGAATAGTGTTATAAAAATAAAAACTACAACTCATATCAATACGGCATTTAATCTCCTGCGAAGTAGTCCCACTTCTGAAAACACATACTTTATCCAGAGTCGTTTCCACAGAAGGAAGCTTTTCTAGAATTCCTTTCTTGATAACGAATGATGCTTTGTCGCATTCTCTTCTCTTTCCCGACGTTATGAAATCTTGTTCCTTTCAAATGGGGTTTGGTTTTCAAATAGAGGAAAACATCGGAAGGGGGGAGATCAGGAAAATATCCTGGTTATCGGACTTCGGGAAGATTGTACTTCGTAAAAGATTGTTGCACAATTCATGGCCACTGATATAACCTCTGTAATATAGAGTGACGACCACACTCTACACACTTTTCTTCCAAGCTCTGCTATAAAAACAGAAGCCAGTGTGAACGTTGTAACTTACTGTTCATGCACAAAAGAGTTCAAGGCAAGTTTGTGCCAAGCGGATTCACTGTGCGTAATTTTCGATTAGAGGTCTTATATTAAAATGAGAAGAAGCTGTAGAGAGCTATAACCTGGTACATTCTGAAGAGATATGGCGTTTAATGTGGAAGGACTAATTTTTTTTAAATATGTCATCCTTAGATGTATACTCGATTGAATTGTAAGTTTCGTTTTGACGAAAGAAAATTTAATTACGAATGCTTTTTCTCATGTGCTAATCATAGATTAGAGTACACTTACATACCTCAGATTTTGTATGTCAGTGGCAGCATATACAGTGGATTAAAGGTCAATATTTTCTCCTCTACGACAACGCAAGTATAACAAAGGCAAATTGAGCTCGGTTTAATCTGTTCTAATCTACCAACCAGATTAACCTGTCCTTGCAGCAATTGATTATTACATATCTCTATCGCTGCAAAACGCTTTCACGAGGAAAAGATGTTTTAATGAAAAAGACATTCAGATGTTCGTAGATTAAGTTCAACACATTAATCTCCGCAATTTTACTGAAATAGTGTCGAAGGGGAAACAAATAATGCCTGGGAAGTGGAAACAAGTAATTTCAAATAATGATGAATATGTAACTAAATAGTATGTAATTGTCTTTTGTTTTTTGTTGATAAAGAAAAGAATGTGCATGACTCTACCTAATTTAATGTGGTCGAACTATAAAAACTATTGATTTCTAAATAACTTGGATAAATAATAAAGTTTTTTTTTAATTTTAAATGATCTGAAAATTGGCAAAAGTTAAACAATTTCTGGCTTTATGTCGGGTGATAGAACTTGGTTATCGTCATTTAGAAATAATTTCCATAATGAAATATACAACAGCGACTACATAAATAGCTGATTAGATCCATCTTCGTAGGGGCTAAGAAACCAGATGCAAGTGAAGGCGAGCTCCATCAAAGAATAAACTGAGTGAGCCACAGAAACAAGCTAATAATCCGAATTCTGTGGAATAGAGCGTGAAATACCATTAGGACAGAAATAGAACAATGCGGTTTTGTTAAAGAAACCGAAGCAATAAATGCTACATTTATGATCAGAATCACATAACAAAAGCAGAAAGGTATAAACGTGTTTCATAATTTATGCAAAATCGTTTGAAAAGTTACTAGAGCAAGAGGTATTTTGACTGTTAACCCTAGAACACTTACCATCAAACCCAGCGCAAATTTTCCTGTTTTTAATTACAATTTTCAGTACCTGATTTTCTTACCTAAATAATGTTTTTTTTTAAATTCCTATTAATATTAACTCAAAAAGTACAATGTTTGAAGTACCTACATGTAAAATATTTCAAATAAAGATTTATATTTAATATTTTTTTGATATTTTTAAAATCGGGTATAATATAACCATGGTTATTAGTGGTGTAACTTTAATTGATGGTTATTGTTCTAGGGTTAAGAAAACTTGATCTACTTAGGAAGGATAATTGGATAATTATGTAATTTTATTGGAAGTAAACCGGCTGCATGCGGCTAGAATATAAATGTTAAATCCCCGAAAAAACAGAAATGGGTGTAAGACAATAATGAATCACAGGATTTATCCTAAGGGAGCTGGAGATCCTATTAGGATTTAACATCGGTCGATGGAGTCGTAACAATATAAGATACTGGTCTTAGACAAGGGAGTGAAGTAACCCTAGAAGAACGGGATAACCACCAAAGGTAAGAACAGATAAGGTTATCGGGAAGAGAAAAACGTAAAATGAGAGAATGCCAACATCGAATAAATACAAAAGCTTAAATATATGGGAATTATTTTAAGACGATGTAAAATGGGACGCTGAAATCCGATCACAAGTAGCCGGATTCGCGGAATAAATCTTTCAAAAGCTAAGCAAATTAATAAAATAAAACTCTTTGTTTCTAAAACAAATAGAATGTGCTGAACGGTTCAGAAATATTAAACCTGTTAGGTGGAGATTCATGATAGACAATTACGTCAGAGATTAAGATATGCCGAGGCCGCCAGAAATGTGCCTCTACAGAAAGTTGCTGAAAATTCCATGGGCTAAGAATATGCGTAACTAGACGTTTTTACGGTGTTGTGGATTCCGAAATTAAATTCGGTCTCCAATGAATGACAAACGCAAGAATTAAATATGAGAAATTAAATGTATTTACACAATAATTCAAAGGGTAATACTGTTAGTAAATCCAGGAACGTGGTTAGTAGCAATAACATATAGATATATACAGTCTCGAAGTAGAACTTCCTTAGAGTCTGGCGTGCTTGTAATTGACTTCTACAAGAGGTTACCTCACACTATTACTCTACCTCCAACTCAATCACAATTTCAGTCTTCTTACTATCTCACCAATCTCTGTATTCTGACTGACTCTGAGTATTTAACGGCAGCAGTACAAGTAACACTCTGGTCGAGTCCACTTATATGAAAAAGGGGATTACCCCATAACATAAGGAAAATTGAAATAAAAAGGACTCTAGGCTCAGAATTAGAAACAGACTTGAAATGTCTTGGCAACATAATGAAATAGGAGAGATTTTGGCAATTTGACCCCAACGAGGCACGTGTGAGGGGGGGGGGGGGCGAAGGCACCAGGTTCATTATTCGATGAATCTTTTGTTACTAGATTAGAGAATGGGTGTAATGTGGGCTTCGTAAACGTACAAACGTTAGTTTAGAGACAAAGCTATGAGGAATAGTAGACCTAAAGGGTCACGGCAATAATAATAATAATAATAATAATAATTTATTTTTGAAAATTTGCTGGTCTACGAACACTACTCAAATAGGATTTTTTTTAGTATTTTATTAGTATATTTTATTAAAACGTGTAAGGGAAGTAACCACTCATAAATTTAATAAAGGTGATTTTCTTACCTCCCGTCAAACTACAAATGTGACAGGAAATATATAAATAAATGCACCGGAAATATTTAAAAAACAAAAATAAAACTTGTCATTGATGATTTCTTTATAATTTTATATTTTTTTACAATGTCCACACCAATAGTACGTAGCGATTTACACTATAGATTACGAAAACGTATGCTTCCTGTTTTTTCTACGTCTTATACCCCTTCAAGAACAGGGCGATTATATTTCTCCACAGCTTCATAATCTTCTCAGCATCTAACATTTTACTATTCATCGTCCACTTACACGTGCCTGTGAGGCAGGTTATTCAGTCAATTTCTCTCGCCCTCTTGACATCAATATGCCACGTATGTGTCAAAATTTTAAAACCTTTTTTCTCATTATGCTTCCCAGAAATCTCTTTCCGATTTGTGCATAATTTTACATGTAAACCTCCTCGTTACCACGTGATCAATTTTATAGTTTATTCGGTATTCTTCTTATTGTACCACATCTTTGTTACCATTAGTCGCGTCTTCATGTCGGGGGAGGTTGTTCACTGAAATATAGGATGATTTGTATGACATAGAAGTGTAGGTTTTTATATCGTTTTCAAAGAAAGTTTCCTGTTTCTTAATATTTTCTTTAGCTTCTGAAAGGCCTGTTTTTTGTTGTTTCTGTACCAATGTGCCATCGAATTTCGGTATCACATTTCAATCTATACTCCTACATATTTTCAGTTATATCTGAAATTTGTAATTGGTCTAAACTTAATTCTAAATTCACTTGGTGCTCTACCAAGTAAATCAGTTATTATTGGCACTACATAATCTTCATAACGTTTTATCAGACCTGCTGTATTTCATCGTTTTTCCTGGACACTCTAGTATAGCCAGCACCTAACGTTCTTGCTTGAAGTTATTTAAACTTACAAAAACCTAAACAAAAACTTTTCTTCCTCATTATCCTTTTCAATGTTTCTAACTTTTTTTCTCAAATTAAAAGTCGCTTTGTCCCTAGTTTAAAAACAGATTTAAGTCTTTCGTCAATAACATTTGTTGTCAGATCACGCAGAAACGAGACATAAATGTGATTTGAATCACAGTCGCGAGATTTCGTGGATAATGAGAAATCAGTGCTCTTTTTAAAAACAAATACTGATTTGTGTTCAGTCACTCATTGGCGTCTGGGGAAAAAGAAACATTTGATTCTTGACATCATTCAAAGCGTCTTGGACTAGAATGGCATCCATCAAACGTGATTTTGGCATTTTTTTTGATAGAAAGGAGATTTTTATACGACAGGCGAAACTCAACCATTTACGAGAAAATTCATAGCGGTAGACACGGATCAAAGTATTGCAAATCATTTTATCTTTTGCCCATATAAAGACCTTAATCTACAGAAAATAGTTAAAAAATTCATTCAA